AGAGAGAGAGAGAGAGAGAGAGAGAGAGAGAGAGAGAGAGAGAGAGAGAGAGAGAGCGAAAAGGCGCTCCGGGGCGGTGTCCTCTTTGGTTTCCCCGCATCTCAATGACCAGAATCTGGACCGAGGCTTGACAATCCGGACCTGACGGGACAGGTATGCAGTTTATTTGTCTGCCTGGTACGGAATGATTCAGGTGCACGCGCGCTTTACTGCTGTATTTATTTCATTATTTRTTTGTATTATTATTTTTTTTGGCGAAGTGACATTGTTTGTAGGCGAAGGATGACACACAGAGAAGCTTCGCGCAGATAAACAGTGATTTAAATGCCCTGCGAAACGCAGCGCTTTTGTGCTGCCAGTGCCATCGGCGGATGAGGAGGGTGTTACCACACAGCGTTAATAAGACCAATATGGTCGGCAGCCCGCTTTAAGAAGCTGCACCCAATCTGAGCTCATCCTTTATTTCACGCTGATCCAGGCCCAGCAGGAAGAGGCAGGTGCACCTTTTTTTTAAATTGTCTTATTATCTTGATGGTGAACAGATTCTTCGTGCATGAGGAATGTGATTTTTGGAGTCATGAGCTGACAGCTGATGCTGAAGATAATGAGCTAATTGAAGATGGAGAGTGTTGTGGAGGGTGTGGCAGAGGGGCCAGCAGGCGTGCAGCTCTCCTGCTGGGCTGTTATAGTTTAGAAATGCCCCCAAGACTGCAAACTACATGTGCATGTGGGAAACAACACTGCATGTGATCCAACTTGTGTTTTTCTTAATGCATTGAAGAAACGAATAAATTCGATGTTATTTGCATGAAAATAAGTTTTATCTTTTAAAGTTAGGCTCTGTGGGAAGATTATGACCATTTGATGTCTTATCTGCTGTAAAGACCTAAAGAAGAGAAGCAGACTGCAAACTTCTGATTCTTAAAATCAGAAATAAACTTTAATAAGCTGCAGCATGTAATTTATGAATCGCTACACTATGTTGATTAATGATGTGGTTGTCTGTTAAGTATATAGCATAAAGACAGACCCAGAAGTTGAAGCCATAAAGAACGAGCGCCCTCTAGTGACTGGCTGCAATACAGTTTTTAGGTTCCACCCCTTCATGCAAACAAATGGATCAATTTCCTGATAGAAAATCGTGTTTTAGAAAACTTTTTTCTTGTGCTGATATTTGTTGATTTGTGTATTTATTACCCTATTCAAATGTGCATTTATTAAATTTATTTAGTTTTGGTTCATTATTTTAGTAAAAGTACAATGTGACTTTGACAGAGAGCAGGATGAGGTGAGGATTTTCATAATGCATGAGACAAAAGTGCAGTGTATTTTTTTATATCAAAGGTTATAGGACTCGTTGAGAGGAACAGTTTTCACCCTCAAAAAAGTACATTTATAAAATACTAATTAAATCTCTTAGGAGCCTGTTTTCCTACTAAAATAAAGTGAAATATCTGTTGTTAAATTAGGTGACAAACCCACTTGTGRCTAAAATTTCGGTGTACAAATGTGAAGTTAGTAATTTACACTGGGTTATGTGGATTTCACTTTAAAGCCTAATATTCAGGGAGAAGTTATTAAATTGAGATTCAGTATTCAGGTAGTTTAGAGGAAATAGAGTTTCATTCTGACTGGATTAACAAGCAAACAGCTAATTCAATAAGAGCAAAGTCAAGTTATACCATCACGACACAACTCCAATCTCAAAAATTCCAAACAAATGTTTTTCTGTTTTATTTCAACTTAAACATTACCTTCAGTTTTGCTTTTCATGGTTATTCTGGCAGAAATATTGTGATATTCCTGCAGGAAGTTCCTCTGCAGGCTGCGCAGAGCTTAAGTAATAACTGTTGAGGCTATTTACACTTGGAAATAACCATCAGTTCTTTTGCTAAAAACTGTTATTTGAAACTGATGCTTATGGAAAGCTGGGTAAAACGGCATTTGCTCCAATTTCCATGAACAGTTTGAAACTGGAGTTGTGTTTAAGAGTTAAAAACACTACCTTGCCACCTATATCGTTAYTGTCTGTCATGCTGCAGCAGAGATTAGTTAACCTGCCATGGTTCTGTTTTCTTTGACAATGATCTGATCAGGATCAAGGTGAATTTCTGATGTCTTAAAACAACTCTAATCTCAAAAATATAATTGTGGTTGATGCAAAGACTATTCTATAACAGTTATTTTATAATATTCTATAACGTTAGTGTTTATTCCATTCAATTTTTGAATGGAATAAACCCTGACATTATTGTCATTGTTGCAAAACACACACAGTTCTGTAAATAATTCGGTAATATAACTGTGAAATCAATCTAAAGGTTTATAGCATAGTGTTTGCATAAAAAAATACTGACATTTAGAGATTAGTTGTTTTAAGATGGCAGAAATCCACTTTGGTCTTGATCCCACTCTGGTTAATCATAAGCTCAGCAATCCGGTCAGAAATAGTTCTAGTTGTTCAATTTCAGGTTCTTCAAAGCTTGTTGCAGTCATAACCTCTCCACTCAACCTCACTTTCAAAGTACTGGTTAATATTTTTTTTCAGTGGTTTTAAAATTAATTCAGTTTCCAAGCAGCATCTCCTACGTGTACTTCAGGAAAATCAAATCAGTGTAGGATGTAGCTAAAGACTTTCTCTCGCTCTGCTTCCCGGGACAGACAAACTGACTGGCAGGTAACTCAATTTAAATTAGATATTGTGCCGAGCAGAGTATAGATTTATTTATGTAACATTTTGAAAGTCAACTTACGAGACGTAACTGAGTTTCACTTCAAAAGGTTTGAGTCCGAACGCGCACACACACACACACAAACACACAAAATCTACGAAAAGTCCTACAGTTGAGCCACTCAGAAMGGTGTATTACAGCTTCTATTGTACAACAAGTCTCACTGTGAGTTCTCATCATCAGTAATGAACCCTTTTGTTCGTCCTCTTTCTGCTCRGACAGACTGTCAGCCCTCAAAGTATTTGGCTCCTTTGCAGCTACACCACAGGCCATAGTATCTTCCAGACTCTGAGTTTGCGGAGGCAGAGTCGGGGAGGGGGGTAAATTAGATCTGCAATCCATCCATCCATCTGTCCATCCAGGCCTCTTCCCCTCTGCGCATCATTCCATCTCGTTTTCCTTTCACCTGCTCCACTTTTAGCCTCCCCAGTGTTCATTACGACAGAGTGGTGCTCCTCTGTTACTGTCCTTTGTCAGCTTGGAAGAAAGGRCAAAACCTAATCACACATGCTGGTAAACACAGGAAAATATTTTTAAAACGCACAGATTGTTGGCCAAATGTTGCATGTGTTACTAATTGTTCATACATACATTTTTCATTGAATTTGTTTCTTACTTGTGACAACCTAAATGGAGCAAACGTCAGATTTATACACTTCTTAAGCTTGTWTGTCACGAGGCGACTAGATGGAGACACAAAATTGTGAGAAAATACACAGATTTTCACTTGGAATCATACTGGATTAGTCCAAACGTCATATTCGCATATTTGAACATTACTGCAAATAAATTGTGATGTTCGCACAAAACAGGGTTCGACAAGATTTTTTTTCTTACCTGCCCCGTCTGACAGGTGACAACAAATGTTACCTGCCTGACAAGAAAAGTTACCTGCCTGAAACAAAAATGTTCAAAATTTGATAAAATGCTTATGAAAACAGAATGATCAACAGCAGCAGCTTTGTTTTAAATACTATTTACAGAACATGAAAAAGTCTGAAATTTACATTAATTGAATAGCCTATCTCATATCTAAAGATACATTTAAGATATTTTGAACTGGTCTCCCTACAACTTAATGATAAATCTAATGTTATTTAAACTAGTCAGAATATAATTAGAGATATCCTGAATAGGTATTTTGCCTMGTCAAAATATATCAAGAGATGTCCAGTGTTGTATAAAGTACCTCAAAGTGATACAGTACTTGAGTAAAAGTACAAGTATCTTATCATAAAAATACTTTGGTAAAAGTTAAAGTCTTCTCTAAAAATATTACTTGAGTAAAAGTACAAGTATCTTATCATAAAAATACTTTGGTAAAAGTTAAAGTCTTCTCTAAAAATATTACGWGAGTAAAAGTCTTAAAGTAGCTGATATTTTTTGTATTTAAGTATCAAAAGTAATTTTCTGACACAAAATCTACTTAAGTATTAAAAGTAAAAGTACTGAGTAAAAGTGAGCAGTTAGATTTTCCAAAATGACATTTATTGGGAGGTGACTTCTCAAAAAAATTTTTTTTTCTAACGGCATGCAGCTGTGATGGGTTGTGTACAAGTTAATACAGTATCAGAATGATACATATTTATACTTCTCATCCAACCACAATTAAATTCACTCTATCCAGGAGACACAATTTATCAGGATAGTATTTTTTTAAGTAATAGCAACTCGAAATAAAACAGAAGAAACGACTTTCTACTTCTTACCTTTTTTTAAAAAAGTAGTGAGTAGAAAGTACAGATAAGTGTGTAAAAATGTAATGAGTAAAATCAAAAAGTATGCTGAAAAATAATTACTCAAGTAAAGTACAGATACCCAAAAATTCTACGTAAGTACAGTAACAAAGTATTTGTACTTAGTTACTTTACAACTCTGGAGATGTCTATTTATTTGTTTGTTTCTTTCTTTCATTCATAAAAACAAAACAATCTAATAAACATCATTAAAATAACAAAGTAAACCCTACCCTGAATTAAAACGGTGCAGAGTGCAGAAAAAAAAACTCATCATGCCCCTTATTTTCAAAAATCAACTTCAACAAGCAAACAAGCTCAAGCTGGAAAGATCTCCAAATTAAAAAAAAGGAAAATAAAACCTTTTATTATTTTATCCTAAATAACTAATGTGTCTAATCTAGTCATAAAACAATTTCAGATAACTGTTATGTAAGCGTGGTGAAGCCAAATAAATGTAATGTCGGCCTGCCAAACAACGAGCTTCTGCCTGTTGAACTGACCCTCTGCTGCTGCGCAGAGCAGCAGAACCCGACTGTTACATAACAAGATGGTTTTATGACTGAAYGAATGTCCGCATATTTTTTTCATCTCTGTGGGTAACAATTCATAAAAAACAAGTTTTTTCTCTGACAACTTGGGTGTGAAAAAAACTACGGTTGTTAAAGCTTCCCTCTGCGCGATG